TGTCACATGGCAGCATATCAGTGCATGTAGGCATGGTGAAGATGGCTGAGCCCTCATTTCAATAAAAGGTGGTGGGAGTGCATGCAACAGTGCAAAAGTCTTTAGTCACCCTTTATTTTTCTAGGGAAATGGGAGTAGTAATTTATTGAAGCAAGTGCAAACACATAGAAATACAGTATATACAACAGAAATATCTTGTATGACCTTTATTCTTCAAGACAGCATGAACACTCTTGCAGTTTTCTTGTCATTTTTTAAGTAGTTCTCAGAAATAGTTCTCCAGGCTTACTGAATGACAAAGCTGGCGTATGCCACATTACACAAAAACTAAGCTGAAATTTGGCCCTGCAAGGTACTCGATGTTCTAATATTGAAGTCAGTAATATCTATGAGCCAAATGTTTTTTACTGAGGGCATTGACCGAGGCCTAGTATAAGATAATGATATGAACTGAGCATCATACTAAGCTACTGTTTGGAGTCCCAGAATAAAAATGTGGAGCTGAAAATAAGCAGGTTGACCTTCAAGTTAAATTAGGAGCTCTTTGAAACTGTCAGCAAGAGAATAATGAGTTAAATAGGCCTACACAAGACATCCCATGGACTCTCCCATTAATTTAGGTCCACAAACCGGGTGACATCGGATCTTTGCCCCTCTGTCAACAGTTCCCTCATACAGTACATCGTTTTTCTGGCTAGTTTTATCCATTCTACTTTTTCATAAATCCTATCCTTCCTGTTTCCCTTACTCTGCAGTCGTGACTAACATTGCCTTCAGTCTGAATTTAAATAGACAAACCCTAAAGCAAAGCTCAAACTCACAGTTGACACACGGAGTAAGACGTGCACTCGTGTGCTGCCCCGAACTAACCCACGCGCACAGCCCAGCAATCAAGGTCCAATGCGTACTGACAAACCAAAGGCTTGTGTCAAAAATTATACTGCACAGAAAGCACCCCACAGTTTCAGGCTTCCTGGAACAGACAGAATGAGGGAGACCCTGGCACTGCAGGTCATTCTGCTTTTCCGTGGTGAGAGTTTGAGGAGATGGCGTTAATAATAATGCAGCATCTCACGGTTATGCAATTAAATGCATAATTGTATGTATGCGGGGGCAACCTGGTAGTTCGTGGAGTAATAAGTGGTAGAAAATTGGTGACATGTTGATAAATTGATTCTCCAATTAAATGAAGTTAACGATGGTAAATGAAAACTGGCGGTGATACAAGTGAGCGTCAAGCTTGTACGAGGAAAACCTGTGAGAGAGAGAGAAGAGGGCGGGGACAGTCAACTACTCAGAGCGGAGGATGATTTTTTTTTTTTAATCATTCCTTGGTTTGGAAAAGGAGGAAGCATCTCCAACTTCTGCCTCCGAAAAAAGAAAGAAAGAAAGAGTCATTTGTGAGTCTGTGCTCGCTGGAGCGTAGTGCGCGCTCTTCGCTGGAGGAGAGGAGCATCTGGATATTGCTGTGAGTTACCTCTTGCAGTTCAAGATTTTTCCAGGAGTTGGGGGACGACATTTAAAAAAAAAAACTGCCATACTAGAGAGCAAGCTGTTTGCAACAAACAGAAAGGCGAGAGGGAGGAGAAACAGAACTAAAGGAGCGGAGAGAGGAGAGGTGACTTGGCCGAAGCGACATGTTTGGCATGTTTAAGAATTCACTCTTCGGAAACACCGAGGAGACGGAATATAAGCTGCTCAGCAGCGAGACGAAGGTAAGCAGTGTGTGTGCTCAGACAAAGCTTTCTCGTTCTCACATGCTTTGCTCCTGCGATTTCCTTCTTCTGAGTCTTTATCCTTGGCTTTACGCGCGTGTGCAGTTACGATTACGCACAGCGATTCTGTCAGATTATAAAAGTGCGAGTTTCCCCCCTCTGGTTCCATGAATATTTCACCTTTTACTTAATTCTGTGCAGGTCGTGTTATTAGACTTTCGTTTAAAATTAACACGGTGATTAGCCTGCTGCTGCAGGCCAAACAGCCTGACAGTGACCTATGAGGATGCATGCTGATCCACAGCGTGGGGGGTAAAGTGTAAACCAGCCCCAGGTTCTCCTCCAACCAACAAGGCAGAAATAATTGAAGATGGTGACGCATAATCTTAAAACAAGAACATTCACAGGGGACTAAAATCGGAAAGACTGAGGGTTCATGTTCGGTGTGGCTCACTGTTTCTTTCCAATATGGCACTCTGGATGCGCGCGCGCGTGTGTAAAGACACAGTAACTGTCGCTGGGGTGGAAGAGGATGCTGATCAGACCTGTATGAACTCTGATACGGATTGTAGGTGCTCTGATACACCAGCCATCCCTGCTGAGGAGAGTAACAAAGACTCAGCTCCACCATGCATAATGTGTTTGTTTTTCTTATGTTTACTGTAACCACACCGTGGAAAAATAACCGCAAACTCACTGATGTGTTAATAACTAAGGCCTCGCGGCTGTTTCAAGGTTATTCTCTCAGGCTCTGTGTGCCCACCGCTATAAATGTGCATGCAGTCATCTACTATTGGTCTTGACGCGCATGTTTTAAAAGTATCTTTGTCTGTTCATCTCCTAAATAGCAGCTAACTTTTGGGAGAAAGACAAAGGCAGGCGGACAAACAGGATTTCCAGCCCAACTGACCAGACAGGCAGGGAATTAAATGACCCAAACGGACACAAGCAGAGTCAGATCTGTTCTGACAGCATACTTTACATCTGTTGTCAGAATCAGAGACTCAAAAACAGACAGTTGAAGCCAGCAGTATGTGCACACATAACAGTTTGTTTGTTTGTTTTTAGATTGGAAGCACTTCCACTAACATTTAATCTTGAATTACAACCTTATTTTAATGGAGACCTGTCAGAAATACAGGATTCTTGCTAGTGAGTGATCATTTGTATTAACTGTCCAATGTTCAGTGTATCACTACACTTAGAAAACAATCTGGAGGCTCATTAAATCTCTGTACTTGATTGATGTTTAAAAAGCAGGTGCTGAAATCAGAGCTTGTCACATGATCTGTGGAGCACCTGTGTGACTCTGACACCCAACACGCTTAATTAATTCTGACACAGAATACAGACAAGCGCACACACACACAGCAGAACATAGAGTATTGTTTCAAAATAAGATGAACTGACGGGCACTTTAGCAGTCAGTGCTGATAATAACTTCAGTGTGCTCGGTTCAGGCGCTGAATAATTATCACTGTATAAGCTGGCATCAGACAGCCGGTAAACACACACATGCACACAAAAAGAGATGCATGACAGACAAATTAATTGCACTACTTAACTGAAGTCAGGCTCTGCTTTCTTTGTGTGTCACCCATATGCAACATTAATGGCGGTCCCACTGACAAGCTATACAGGGCAAAAACCCTGTAATTACTATGCAGGAGCCCGGGTACTCGTCACAAGTTAAAGTTTCACAGTAACTCAGCGTTATCTTGCATGTGTAGAGGAATAAATATGGCTATAGGGTCCTCATAAGGCCACTCCAGAGGATTTCAGGTCCTCTGTGGGTTTTAAATAAGATTATGAGGATGAAAAGGTGTTGGTTACAAAGGTAAAGCAAAAGGAAATGTTTTTTAGCATCTGGGGATTTGATAGTAGACAAAGAATCACTAATTCAATTTGAAAGATGAAGATATTTGCATGATATTTTTAGATTTGAATGTCCCTCCAGGGTAGTGAAAACATGCTCAAGAAGCCCACATAGGACTGAGACTGTGCAGTGGAAACTGTGCCCCGAGCCTGTTTCCATTGTTGCTTTTCTTTGTCGCTGTTATCACGTTGAGATAAACACCTTATCTGCAAAATAAACGACATATTTCACAGAGGCCAGCAGGTTGAAGTCACTGCATATTATTCAAAAGAAGTGGATGACAACGATATAATGCAGTTAAATTTCAGTGCACGAACCTAATCTTACAAACGCAGAAGCATGTGCACAGTGTGACCGTGTCAGTGAGTGAAAAGCTGCTTTTGAAACCTGCATCACTCCATCAAAACCCATCCAAATTCCTGCTCCGCAGCATGGCTGAGTGACCGTGCTCCACATTAACCCCACTTAATCATATTTAATGTAAAACTGTTGCATCATATTAACGCTGTGAAAGAGAGCGCGCAGTGTGTGTGTGTTTTCTTTTTGCATGTGCTCTGTTATGTAAGACTGTGTGTCTCTTCCCCATTATTCTATGTAAGCCGACGGAGCCCTGCAGAGCAGAAGAAGAAATTAAATCAAATCAGTATAAATATGTTTCATCTGTATGTGCCCACTTTGGTCTCACACACACAGACACTGAACTCTCTGTGTGTAAATCTCGCTAGTTCAGGGCTTCTGTCCTTAGAAGCAGATTGTCAGCATCAGTGTGTCAGAGGTGAATCATATCTGGGCTTGACCTCTGCTACTCCCATCCCCAGGATGAGAACAGTGGTGTTTGCGTGTGTGTGTGTGTGTGTGTGTACAGAACAGGAGGTCTGCATTCGTGCAGCAGTGACTGGCCTGCCGATGCCTTAAGACGTCCTCCGATTTCCTTTTTCTGCCCTAGGATGGAGTCAGCTTTGAGGTGCGACGGTATGATGCTGCTAAGTTTGCTGTTGTTTCCTCTGAGGGGCGAACCTTCGACCAAGTAACAGGAGAGCTAATGAGGAAGCTGCTCATGTATATTGGCGGAAGCAATGAACAAGGTAAATCAAGTGGAGAATAAATCCTTCAAGTGGATCACGTGCCACGTTCGCTGAGAATACCTAATTAAGTTTGAGCCAACAAGACCTTCAGATACTTTCTTTCAGCTTTGCTGTCACCTTCCGAAAAATATTTAGTGCCAATAAATAACAGCCATGAAGCACAAATTTACTGGACTAATAACTGCTGCCAAGTTGTAGTTTTCATAAGCGACAGACCATGATGATTTTTTTGTTGAGTTGGTGGTCAATCCTGGAATTTATGAAAGAATAAAACTATTTTAAAAAGCTGCTTTTTTTCAGTTGTCTAAAAATATGATTAATCATACTTTTTTCTGTTTTAAGATCTCCAGAAGCAAGTTTGAGCCAACTAAATTTTATTTATATAGTATAATTCAGCTCCCCTAAATGGGCCTAACATTGCAAGGTAAAACCCTTACAATGTTAACCTCCTAGGACCTGGCGTCCACATATGTGGACATCACTTTTTGGGTTGTCTAGACCAAAATACTAAATTTTGCTCTACGAGAGCCTGATATCCACTTACGAGGGCATCATATTACGGACGTCCTCATATGTGGATCTCATTTTTCTCAGAAACAAAAATCAAGTAAAAAATAAATCAGGTAATTCTTTGTTTTTTACATTGATTAGGTCCCAATCAGCCCAAATAGCAAAGAGAAATTAAAAATGCATGCCATGAAAGAGTTGAAAAAGAGTTGAGAAAACAACAGAAATCAGACACAAGCATTTGGCAACAGTGGGAAGGAAAAACCCTGATTTAACAGGAAGAAAACACCAACAGAACCAGAGTGAGGGAAGGGAAGCAGCTGGGGGTGAGAGGAAAGAGAAGAGATAAAAGGAGAGCTTGAAGAGACAAGAAGTTAATGACATGCAGTAGTGGTGGTAAAAGCATTAGAAGTGAAAAGAAGATCTCAGTGCATCATGGGAAGTTCTCCAGCAGCCTTAGCCTATAGTAGAATAACTCATGGTTCAGGACCACCCGATCCACCTCCAACTATAACCTTTATCAAAAAGGCAGTTGTTTTGGCAGTTACTTTCAAACATTATCAACAGTAACTTTAATTTTAATGATCACTGAGATATTTAAAGAAAAATCCATGAATAGAATTACAAGTAAAATCTAAAAAGTGTGCCAGCTTTGCCTCGAAATATGTTTGTTTTCATTGCTGTTGTTAAATTCTGCAGTTGATTTCAATTCGGGATTCTTTGGATGCATCCAGCAAAAGAAAGTTGGCACTTTGAAGCACCCTAAAGCAATACAAATGAGCATAATGGAATCAACACATGGCTCAAACTTCAGGGCCAAACTTATCTTAAATAAACAGAATATTTTTACATAGAATTTAACTGGGTTGACTTTAGGTGACTCACAGATACAGATGTTCTCTGGTTCCCTGCTGTAGTTAAGGTAAATAGAAGTGCAGTGTGAAATAGGCATTTATTTCACTGTTGGAGGTATGATTTACATGTGCTGCTTTGCAGCGTCTCTGTTATTGCTATCAGTGTTGCATTTGCATAATTTTGTTACATAGTCCACAAAAAAAGTGCACAGTTCCTGTCCTTTAGATTTGGGTAATGCCGCTGCAGGGAGAGAGTTTCTCTGCTGTCTCTTCCATGTTCCTCCTATTTTTGAAATTCCCTTTCCGTCTCACACTTTAAATCATAAGGTGAGGCCATGGGTACAGCAGCTCCCATCATAATGACAGTGTACCCGCGAAACGATGGGGTTTTCTCTCGCCGCTTGGTGGTGGCCATCCGCATTCCCACCAGCTACCAGCAAGAACCCCCGACTCCCACCGACAGTGCCATCAGGATTGAAGAGAGGCCCGGCATGACCGTCTACGCTCTGTATGTGTCATTTAAAGTGGTTCTATTACTATTATTACTATTTGATGTGTGTATACAGCAAGTGCTTTGAAATCTTTTTCAATTTGCAGGCAGTTTGGAGGCTTCGCAGGGGAGAGCGAGTACAGAGCAGAGGCCCTGCGTTTGACACGTACCCTGGGCGAGACGGCCCCCTTTCAGCGCAAGCAGTACTTCTGCTGTAGCTATGACCCGCTCAGGCCTTACGGACGCAGAAATGAGGTTTGGTTCCTACAGGAGGAGCCATAGACGGTCAGATCTCGTGCTAAATTCTTTATTCATTTTCCTCACTTACAGTCATGTAACCCTAAAACTGAGTTCGGGTGTTTACAAAAAGGGACAACTTGGGATTCAGTGGAGTAGTAATTTTTTCTCATTTCATGACATTTTCTCTAATTTAAAGTCATGAAACTGGCCTAAAGTGACCGAACGCTTCAGAACAACTATTTGGAGTTCTGCAAAGTATGTTCAGCAATTTAATATAAAATAAATTCCATGAGTTCAAACAGCATCCACACTGCTGCTCAGATGTTTGGGGTTGATTTAGATTCATCTAAGGCACCATGCAAGCAAACAAAAAGGTCCTATATGACAATTAATGATTAATGAAATCGTGCATTATTTATGACTTTCAGTGGAACATCTATCTAGACCTATGGTGGTCAGTGTTCTGCAACCATCCATTAGCACATTTTGTTCTTTAAGTGATAATCAGGAAAAACTCGTTTTGTTTCACAGTTCAATTGCAAGTGCTGATTCAAGAATCAACAGCATTTGAGTGCTCGTTTCTTTTAAAAAAAAAAGGTTCTTCAAGCAGGAAACCAACAAAACCAAAGATTGCATAAAAAGGTGTGTGCTACTTCCTTAACAGAACAGAGCAATGTGGTTTTAACTGGAGCAGTAAGAGAAGTGGAAGGCTCTGGTAAACGGCTGAGAAAGAGGCCCGCGGTGCCTGCAGTCTGACAAACAGATGCCTCCAAAGTCCTCAGCTGGACAGTTTCATTAAGTGATTTTTTTTTTTTTCAACAGATGAATCCAAAACAACTTTATTGATCTTCATCGATTCTCTAATCAAAGAGGAGTTCTGATGATGATGGTGGCTGCTGAAAATGGGCCTCTGTGTCTCTACACAGATATTGCATTAAAAATCATTAAGCACATTGAAAATAGACAGAAAACATAAAACTGAAGTGTTTTTCTTTACAAAAATTTCCTAATGATCACCAAACATTTTCTCCAAGATGGGGAGGGTACACTCACTGTCCACTTTATCAGATCTGTTCAACAGATTGCTGGTGCAAATATCTAATCAGCCAATCACATGGGAGCAACCTTAGTAGAATTGTGCATCCCCATTGGCCTCCACCATCATCAGATGTCAATCCAACAGTCTTTGGGATGAGGTAGAACAAAAGATTCACATCATGGATGTCAGGCCAGCAAATCTGCAGCAGCTGTGTGATGCTGTCGTGTCATTATGGACCAAAATCTCAGAGGAACGTTTCCAGCGCCTCGTTTAATCAGTTGAGTGCAAAAGGAAATCTAAGCTGGTAGTCGGGCGTAGCAGTGAGTGTAGATCTAAAAGAAATTACTGTTAAATAAATTGGAAAGTTACTGGGATTTTTTTATAGGCATAAGACTGGATGATCAAATCTAAATCCAAACAAATCAGTCTCGTCGTTTCCTTTTGGATTTCTGTGTTTGTCCTTGAAGGTATATAAAGTCTCAGTAGCGCTCCTGTCTCCATGAGTACACATGCTCCACACGTTCATGCTAGTTTACAACTTAGCGATGACTACAAAGAAATGTATAGCATTATTTAACGTACATGGTAGTAAAAACCACACATCCTTTTCCTGAGTAAGGAACTGGAAAAAACAGGAGTTGAGCCATAAAGTAGAATTAATGTTCAGTCTCTGTGAGTGAAACCTAGATACATAGCCACTGGTGTCGATCTAAACTCTGTGATTATGCATTGGTCCTGAAAGCATTTGTGTGTAGTAAATATGTTGTTTTATTGCAGTGCATGATAATGCAATCATTACTTATTAAGATATTTAAACTGTGTTATGTGTACAGTGTGATTCTGTGATAAAACTGACCATATTGTTCAGATTTGACAGTGTTTAATAATCTAATAAATATATTATTTAATTAGAGTGTGGATTATTCTTATTGTCCATCATTCCATTATTTGTAAGAGTCAAAGGGTGAGGGAACAACTTCCTAAGAAGACCAGCAACGCTGTGACTTCATCAGTCTCACATCACTATGTTGCTTGGTGGGCATTTCTTTATGCACAACTGAGCTTTTCAACACAGCTTTTCAATAAAGGCTCGCCTTGACTTGGCCACTGCTTTTCTTTTTCAGCCTTTCTGTTGTAGATTTGCTGATGTGCTTGGGATCATCACTCTGTTGAATGACCTGGTTTGGGCCAAGCTTTAGCTGTCGGACAGACGGAGTCACAATTGACTTTAGGATACTTTACAGAGTTGGTGTGTCTGTGAAGGTTCTCAGTCATCCAGGTCATCGTAGTCTAAGGAGCTTGGAAAGCAAAGCGTCTGGACTTCTTTGAGTTGCTTGAAGACGTTTCACCTCTCATCCGAGAAGCTTCTTCAGTTCTAAGGGTCAATGGTGGAGAGTCCCAGATTTAAACCCAGTGGGAGTTTCCCCCCCAAAGAGGGACAAAGGACCTGAAGAAGCTTCTCGGATGAGAGGTGAAACGTCTTCAAGCAACTCAAAGAAGTTCACACGCTTTGCTTTCCAAGCTCCTTAGACTAGAGTTGGTGGTCGACTCAGTGACTGTAAGGTGCCCAGGTCGGTGGCCGTAAAACAAGCCCAAACCATGGCACCTCCTCCACCACGTTTGACGGTTGGTATGAAGTGTTTTTGCTAATATGCTGCGTTTGGTTTTTTATCAAACACAAACTTGCTGATTATAAGTTCATCAAATCCAGTTGATTAGCGGCACTATAGCTATTAAATGGAAGCAGTAAGGTGTGTTCACACGCAGGTTTTTACATACTGCTTCTG